GCATTTCAGAAATGCAGCTGCCTAAAAAAGACACATCGATTCCTAGGAACAACGTTTTTTTTTCTCGGTAAATACAGACAATAGAGAAATGTCAGAGTACAGTGAATAAACTTCACTCGTCAAAAACTCCATAATGGCAGAGTTAAATTCCCTGATTTTTTTTCACTCTCGATTAATTTTTTAAAGATTCAAATTNGAGTTAAATTCCCTGATTTTTTTTCACTCTCGATTAATTTTTTAAAGCTTCAAATTCATACTTGAGTATCAATTGATTCATTCACATCGTCCCATTCCATCGGGAGATATTGTCGATCGTCACTGAAGAAGGCAAACCATTCATTTAAATCTCGCAATAATCTGCGAAAAGTCTCATTCGTTAATCTATTATTATTGATTTAATCCCATTATGTGTATGAGATTTGTTGAGATATAATCTCTCACAAATATTGAATATATTTCTNTAATTTTTTAAAGCTTCAAATTCATACTTGAGTATCAATTGATTCATTCACATCGTCCCATTCCATCGGGAGATATTGTCGATCGTCACTGAAGAAGGCAAACCATTCATTTAAATCTCGCAATAATCTGCGAAAAATCTCATTCGTTAATCTATTATTATTGATTTAAACCCATTATGTGTAGATCGCTGGAGAACACCGAAAACGTTCCAATTGTTCAAACGAATTGGAATGTTTTCTCTCTCCTTCTCCATTTTCTATCTCACTCGCACTCGTCAAGTTTTGCGGAGGACGGGCACGTGCCAACGCGACGGAGACGACAATGAGTGGGAGCAAGCACGATACATATTCCTTTCTCACTCAGGGGGGGAATACCGATATTAGTATACCTGCCTGTTTTACCAACAAAAGTGTACTCGCATTTAGTTCATGCGCCACCACTACGAAAAAATCCAGTCGAAACGTTTACATTGCCGTGGCAGATCTCCCCTTAATCTGTGCTCTTTGCTATCCTCTTTGAGTGCCGTGATGTTTCACACTTTTCAACCGGGGCATTAAACACAGAAATAACGATAGGAGTGCATATAANAGAGATCTCCCTTATAATCTCTGCTCAGAGCAATGGATCATTGGAACGCAGCCATCAGTCACTTGTAGAATTCCTGCGCACAATGATGGACCATTACGATGACTGGGACTTAATTCTGCCCTTCGCAATGTTCTCGTACAATACGACTGTGCCTTCAAGCAGTAAATTCACCCCTTTCGAATCGATTTTTGGCAAACGAGCATGGGCTCCTTCTGAATTCCCGGACCAAGAAACATTAGAAACCTATAATGACTATATCGCTGAGCTAGTAAGTAAACTGGACCAGATCAGATTGCTCGCGGCCGAAAACCTAATTGAAATGAAAATAACAACGAAAGCAATATATGACCAGCATGCCAGGCCAGTCGACTTTAAAGTGGGCAAATTTTTTGACATTATCAAAGAACCGCGTCAAGGAAAATTCGATAATTACAACAAAACATCCTATGAAATTGTTGATATAACTGACATGGGTAACCTGATTTTAGAAGATGAAAATGGTGGGAAATTTATGCGCCACCCCAACAAAGCCAGGTTAGCGCCAGATTAAAACACCATATATATTTTGCTCATTTACTAACCCCTAATAATTATGAACTAGAAAAGAAAAAACAATCCTGTGAGAGTGAAACAAGATGAACCTCCATCAAGTGTACCTCCTTTTCCTGATGGAGTTCGGGAGAGGACATCTTAGTGAGACCCAATTGACCAGCAGAGTAAAGATAAAACAACTATCGAGCAGCCCCGGGTTATTCTACGAACGACTCCAAGATATCCAAGTTGTAAAGAAGGAATGGCAACTGATAACAACGATTGACTTCCTAGCATTCTATTACAAAGTCGCAAAAGACCTTTACCTTCAGTTCCGGGAGGCTTGGGATCAATGCGCAGCAAAACTCAACACAGAATGCAAAAGAATACTCAAGGTAAATCAATTCCAAGCCATGCAGAAGGAAATAGAAACGCTGAATCAACACCTGGAAGATATTTTCAACTGACAAACTGAAGATCCAGCAGGCACTGCCGAGAAGAGATCACCACTATTTGGCTTCATAGGAACATTGCAGCACAAACTATTCGGAGTCATGGACTACAATGACTACGAACACGTCAACAAAGAAATTAATAAACTCTACAACAGTCAAGCTGAAATTACTCACATCGTCAATAATCAAACCCATATAATCAGGTCTGAAATTGAACGATTGATAGTAAACATGGAACAATCCCAAAGGAATGTCACGATCCTCAAAAATTATACTGAGGACCTCCACAAGCAACAGAACAGACAGGCTGATGAGATTTTGAACCTTCAACTAGCAGCGAACTATGAACACATGGGGGAAGAAGCTGCGAACTCCATGAGGATCCTATTGGAAACAACTAAGAAGATCATCGACGGACTGGATGCCGCTAAACATGGGAGAATCTCAAATGTATTCCTAACGGCAGGACAACTCAGCCAGGTAGCCCGAAAAATACAATCAGAACATCCAGAATTGGAATTCCCCATTCTAAAAGGGAAAACTGACTACCCTGCACTATCTAAGATAAGTTCGATTCAGTTAGCTCACAGTCAAAGAAGGATACTAACGATTATAACCTTGCCACTTCTAAGCAGAGAACTATTCCAACTCTACCGTATGCGACCTTGCAAAAGACCCCAACTGGGAAGCAACAGAAATATTTCAGCACACGTTGTTCCAACCAAACCATATCTCATCGTCACTGAAGATCATCACCATTATTCATTGTTGGAGCAAAGCACAATCGACGAATGTGCTCTACTAGGCAACCGCTTGGTCTGTCTACCCAACTTCCCAATATCTAATTCCATGATGAAACCAGCCTGCGAGGTGATGCTATTACTGAAATCATCAACCGACGTCCTCAAGACCTGTGACATCAGAATAACAAAAACACAAGGGACTGAATGGACTAACCTAGCCACGTCAGATAAGTGGATCTTCGCAGCAAGTGAAGCGAAAATTGCCGAAGTCTACTGTGAAGAAAAATCAGAAGGTAAAATACTGATCAATGGCACCGGAATTCTATCATTGGATCAGACTTGTCACCTACAAACACCAGCAGACCTAATCACACACCTAGGGAAAATACAACCAACTGAAATTGGCGTGCACCTGCAATCGATTAACCTAGACCTCTATCACATTGCTCCACAGGTCATGACAGAGAAACAACATCCAGACCTACTGTCAGCAATTCGATTTGAGTCCCTTCCAAAATTGAAGAATCACGTGGCATATGAAATACGACTCGATGAAGCAGAGCAACGACTGGAGGAAATCAGTCTACAACATCAAGAAATCTACCACCACAAATCACCTTTGGCTCCATCGGAGGTATCGGACTCCTCTCAATTCTTGGAATTGGCTATGCATTCTGTAGTCAGAACGCTATGAAAGGGGTCATCTTCTGGGTATTCCGCTGCTGCCGTCGAACGACGGCAAGAAGATGCCGAGAAGAAGGACCAAAATCGAACCCAAAAACAAAATACAAGACTTACCACTGGAAGAACTTACCATCACCGTTCCACACTTTACCAGTAGGATGACTCAACAAGCAATAACGCAATCTGAACCAAACATATCAGAAATGCAATTGCAAAGAATCCCTGTCCACGCCATCATCGAGAGAACTCCCTCAGCGGAGACAACACTGACGACATCCCCGGCCAGAAGGACTCTGGCACCACTGGAGTTCTAAATGATCGACACACACCACCTAAATCAACGAAATAGATACGTAGAAAAATGTCTAAACCCGGGACATGACTTCAAGATTTATTAATTTTACACCATCCTATAATTAAAAGCAACTTTCAACAATGAAACATTTCAAACAATATTAGACAAAAATCGTGAAATCATGCCACCGAGGAGTATATATATACAGGGTGTCTCATGGGAGGTCATCAAGCGGTTATGAGTCGATTCTAGGGGTCGATGGGATACTGGGAAAAATAGCGAAAAAAATTGTGGGGGTGAATTGATTAAATTATAAGGGTTTGAAATTGACCAATGAGAGGGTGACTTTCAGTTGAAATGTCGAACATGGGGAGAATGGTGGGAGTAACGGAGAAACTTTACAACACTGTGCGAGTAGGCGGCTGAACTCCCGCCATGACGTGAAGGGGGTTGTCTCAGTTCACGTCCGTCACTCATTAGGGTTATGGCGGCGCAGGGGGCAATATCAACATAGAGAATAGAGAGGCCGTAATACGAAAATGGATTGAATGAAATGCATGAAGCGGTGATATTGAATGCTCCAGTAGAATGAACTTCATTTTACTCAATTAACATCAAATTAATACATTAATAAATGTCACACTAACTGTTCTTATGTCTTGAAGCATGCGTATGAGACCAGATACCGGTATAAATAGAAAAATTGGGATTATTCCAAATCTCAATTTCGATATCAGTACATAATGACCTTTCTCATACTCGAATTGATACCTGATGGAACACCTCCATCGGTATTTATTCATGTGTCGTTATCTAGAACAATGTTTATCGCTCTAGATTTCACTTGACACTCAAGATCGTTAGTGAGAGCTTCATTAGTACTCGAATAAAGCCTTAGTATGGGTACTAATTGATATACCAGTTTGAAACATCCATATTTGAGTTCTGTATTTCCATGCGTTGGACCTACGGTAAGTATTGACAGTGATACTAGTTTCATTTCGATATTTTATATCATTTTGATAATCCTTCAATTAAAAGTCAAATCTAACACTCACAACGATATTTCAATTGTTACTAAAAACTATACGTAATTCACTAATGGTTGGAGTATCTATGATGACTCCACATATCCATACTGCTTATTCAATATGGATTAATCTGACAAATACTCCAAAATATCATTTCTTTTTCCAGCAAGTTTATTCAGATTTATTCATGAAAATTAAGAAACATCCGCAGCTAACTTTGGCATATGGAAATTATTGGATTTTTATCCGTTGATCTGGATCGATTGAAAATTTTTTTCAGAGCCTCATTGAAGGCATGAGTTGATAGGTGGACGTCGGGAATCCGTTGATTTACAAATTCTGGAAATATCAGAAAAACAATTCATGGAATTATTCAAGTGCACATGAAAACATCTATAAGTGTGATAATCCATAATTGAATCAATATTATGAATAAGGGTGAAGTACTTGTAGACAATTCGAAGTAATAGTAAAGTAATTACATGCATTCTACTCAATTCATGAGTAACGCACAGATTTCCAAAACTTCTCGTCTTTTCCAACATTCTTTCCAAGTATTCGTTTCAAGCTTCTATCATTCTCATGCGCATAAATTGATTGTAAAGTGATAAAACAACATGAGTAAATATTATTGTACCAGCCCTTTTTGAAAGATATTTTTCGAGTCTAGGAGGGATAGAGAAATTTCTTTGGAGATCTTTTGTGTAGAGAAAGATTAGAGCTAGCAAAAAGGTATTTCAGAAAGTTTGCTCTCTTTTAGATTCCGAGATATTTCTCTGAGAGCTATGTTTACTTGGATTTTTTCACTACCACTTTACTACAAGAACTTTCTTTAATAAAATGATACTCACTACGAACAGCTCTATACACTTTGTCAGGTAGTGCCACACGGTTCGGTCCTTTCCCCGTCCGAGTCATATTAATCATATTCTTCCTACCAATCGTTTTCCGGATCAATTCTCGGATCATTTTATCAGGATTTGCCCCAAACTTAACCTTGATTCTATCCAATTCAGATTCCCAAATAAATACGCCGGTGCGAGGATACAATTCAGTACGATTTCTTCCACCACTTCGCCAGTCGCCGATGTCATCGTCATCGTCATCATCATCGTCCTCATCTCCAACAGCATAATTTCCACCACGAACCATCTGATTCATCCCATACGCTCTATCTGCTACGGATATGTTCATGTCATATGAGACAATACCATGAATTTTATCGCATTGGATAATATTCACCATTATTATTCGTCGCTATATTTTCCACATCTTGTTTCACGTGTGTTTCAGGTGCAGTTTTGACGGCTGATTGTTTTGTCCCAGTCCCTGAATAAGAGAGTGATAATTTAGCAGTATATGGAGTAACACACTACAATATTTTTCAGTAAAGCATTGTTACAGCCATTGTGATTACTATTTTCAGCATGATTGGACTCTCGAGCTTCAATCCTAATGTTTAATGGTGCTGGATACTCTTCTATAATTGACAGACCTAAATAAAGGAGCACCCAATTGTTGTCCGTAATTTGATAGTGTAGAACAATGTGTTATTGATTTTTTTACTCACCATCATCAGTATCACCATCGAAAATATCGATTGTATCGTTCGCTCGAGATTCCGTTTTCACTGATAGCCTCTTGTGATCATCAGCTGTAGTCATCGGACCTAGAGGAGGATGAGATTTGATGCGATTGTAAATGTGATGAGATTGTGCATCGAAATAACTTGAACTAGGCATATCGATAAATCGCATAATTTTGTGTAAATTAGTCAGAGGACCTTTCGTGTATGGGAAACTATTGACAACAGAAAATCTGATTTGACATTGTCTTCTAAAGTCACTCGGTGTCAAAATACTCCCACATTTAACAAGATATAGAATAACGACCTAGTATCCTTCGCCACTTCACTCCTAGAATTTTTGCTTTTCTCTGGCTTCATAACAATATTGATAACTTTATCCATGATATGGATCATGAAGTTTTTAGCTGCGTCTGTATTTTCTCCATGGTGGACCTCGGTCTGGGATGAAAGCTTCGAAAAATAATTGTTCAGTTTCTTCATGTTTGAAGACTCACTTACCATCGTCCACATCACTGTCTCCAAGATCGATGATACTGTGTTCGTCAGATTCGATTTGAACTGGTGTTTTTCTGGCGCTAAATCCTAGAAATAAACCATCTGGATGGAAGAAGATAAACCAGTTGAAGACCACCAGCACAGCAGTAGTGAAGAGGTTCAGCATAATGAGTAGATTTTTCACTCCTTCGTTGAACATGCTATCATTCCGTCAATGAGTGATTTCAGGAGAAAATATCCAAAGTAATTTTTGATAGTCTAAAAAGAGGTCTTCTGATATTTTCCCATAGAATCACTTGTTCCCGGGATATATGGACAACGAAAATGTTGAAATCGACTTGTCACTATTTTCCATTTCGCTACTGAGGTAGCCATGGATAGCACTCACCCTCACTCGTGGTTTGATCGTCATCTACTCCATTTATTCGGGGTTCAAGGTCGACAGCAGTCTCGTTTGAAGAACCTGGTGAAGATACCTGACAGGTATGAAGTAATTTTGTTGGTGTTGGCTGCTGTATTGGAATATGTTCTTCTAAAACATCCCCACGAGAGTGAGAATCTTTGGCAGGAGTGTTCTCACACGAAAATGTTGAAGGTGAGAGATCCATCACGAGCATTTTCGGTGGAGGCAAGCTGCGGCGCTCAATCTTCTTTGGGATTGGAGAATTTTGTGAACCAGAGGAACTCGGCGAAGTTATCTCTCTTAAGATGCTCGAGAAGGCGTCACAAGAAGGCAAAATGGGTTCATGAATGATTTTTCGTTTCATTCCTGAAGAAGTTGTGCCAGGAATAGACTCTGTGGTCGTTTCAGACCTGTCAGCTTCCTGCTGAACGTCAGCGCAGGTAACTGTTGATGCTGAAATTTGTGAGGACTCCACTTCTCCAGCAGTGCCGGTAAGTGGGTAATCCATCTCATGTGATGTATTCGTGGATGAAGAAGCAGCTACGACCTTCAGTGACGTTGGAGACTGTGATTGATGTGATTCTGTTTGAATTTCCGATGATGACTCTACTGAATGGGATTCTTGACTGTTTTCAGCAGGTGTTGGACATTGAGGTGGTGAATTCTGTTCCATACGAAGGTTGTCCTCAATACCCACTGGAAACTCTACCTCTGGCCTCTCAGAATGCGTCGGGGAATTCTTCACTGAATCATCAGAGGTAATGACTATTCCTCTCTTGTTGACTTCTGTGCGTTCCAGGAAGGATTTGATGTCTACAGAGAGATAAATACGTTCGGCAATAATTCAGTAGCAAAGTACTAGAGGGTGACGAGTCAAAATGTGCTTTTATCTTAATAACGACTGATTCTAAGAGAAACAATACTTTTGTCGTGGAGAAATTAATTCTCCCCTGAAAAGGACTCTTGACATTTCTCCCTAAAACCGATAATTTACCGAGATAATTTTATAATGAATTAACTAGAGGATATTTCAATAGAAATTAAACATCAGCTTTGTTAATTATGCAACTATCTCGGAAACGAGTGATTTCAGGAAAACATGTCAAAAGATATTTTTTCCCAGAGAATTAAATTTCCCACAGAAAAGGTATCCACATATTTTCTTCTAAAATCATTCAGCATCGAGATAGTTCAATATTTAACAAGGCGTCAAGGATGAACTCGTTCTGTGACAGAGTGACAATAAATGAGTTGTACGTTTTCATAAATTCATGATGAAATTCCCTTATTTCCTTAATAACACCAGTTATATATTTCAATTGGACCTACTGCACTGCATAAGCACTTTTGCTGCGTAATTTTTTCCATCGATCCACAAAAATCTTGTCATATTTGAGTGGTGAGACACGTTTTCCGTTGGTTCAATAGTAATCGTTCTAAATTTATTTCGCCATTCTACTAGGGACTATAACGCTTTTTTATCGCCCAAGATCCGAGACATCTTGTTCAAGATATGAATGACGCAATGGATGGTTCACTCTTCTTTTATTTAAACAAAATATATTTTCGATGTTTTCTCTAGCTGCTGACGAGTTCATAGTATTTGAAAATACCGTAGAATGGATCTTCATTCCAGTAGGATTGAATAGATTGAGCATTCTCCAGCAATAAACACACTTAACAGATACTTAACAGATATTTATTGACACAAATTTTCAAATGCCGGAGATGTTCTCGAAATTCGAAGAATTAATCTCTTAAAAAAACGGAATGAAACCTTAATTCTTCATAAAATAAAATTTATTCTGACTTATGAACTAAATATTACAAATAGAACAAATTATCGATCTTCCCAAACATGCAGTTGAATCATTCCTAGTACGTTTATGAGAATTATGAGAATTACGATGATAGTTACTCTTTGGAGATTACAAATTATTCTGAGCTTCAACGTGTCGTCAGTCGTTGACTTGTCTTGATACACCTGCACAGGCTTCCACTGTTGAGGAGAATGGAAAGAAATAGAAATTTTCATCCCTTTTGTGTACCTTTCAAATCAGTGGAGGCGCCTTTATAATGACAATACTTGAATTCTACAGGTGCTGTTGAAAATGATGACCATGATGTTCTATGCAACATGCTGCACGTCTCAACGTGTCCTCACGAACATTGGCGAGCATTTCCGGGGTGATTACTCGAATAACTCGATTTATACGATTCCTTAATTCATCTGGTGTAGCAATGATTTCCCTCGTGTACACACGGTCTTTAGTATGACCCCATAGGAAAAAATCCAGAGGATTCAGGTCTGGAAATCTGGGTGGCCAGTGGATTGGTCATCCTCGTCCGATCCATTGTCCAGGGAACATGTTATTCAATATGTCTCGAACAGCGAGAGCAGAATGTGCTGGTGCTCCGTCATGTTGATACCACAAATTCTGAATTTCAGCATCGACAATACCGCTTCGACGCAACAAGTCCAGCAGCCAATTGCGTAAAAATGTAGAGTAAATGTTGGCAGTGACAGTGCCTCGAAAAATTATGGGGCCAACCTGAAAAAAATGTATTCATCATTTTTATAATATTATTATTATAATTTTAACGATCCATTACAATAATGGAGTGGTAAAATGTCACAACTTGGGTTTTAACGTGTTTTCGAATGTTATATGATCTTGATGGTGAGTGATTTTAGAAACAAATGTCAAGAGTTTTTTTTAAGGAACTTCCTCAGTTTCTATTGATGTGAAAATTTTCGAAATAACCTAAAGATTCAAAATTTCGATCATATGTTGTTGGGTCCGTTGAAAAACCATTCCCAAAATTTCAAAGACACTGACCGTGTTTTTTCTGAGATTTGCATCGTCGAAAATTGACATTTTCGTGTTTTTCAATTTTTGAAAAAAAAATTAGATGTGTTGATTTTTTCTGTTAGGTGTTTTTCTATTACATTTTCTAATGAAAGAACGCGCAGAAACGCCGCGGAATTTCCAATAGAAACCGGCAAAGGACCAACAGAATTCCCAATAGAATTCCCAAGCGAATGCACTTGGAATTTATATTGAATTTTCTCATAACTGTGCACATAAGATGGTTTATTATGTCTCTATTGATTTCATCGCAAATAACAATAATAAATTGATAAAACATTGAATAATAACGTTAATAAATCAACAATGGATTACCACATGATCGCCAATGATTCCAGCCCAAATATTGATAGAGAATCGGTTCTGCTGGACTCGATTCTGAACAACCAAGTGTGGATTTCGTCTCGCCCACCAATGATTATTATGCTGATTCCATGAACCACACCTGCTAAAAGTCGATTCATCTGTCCAGATAATTCGATTGAGAAACTGAGGATCCTCTTCATGTTGGATGATCAACCACCGGCAAAACTCTCGTCGTCGTCTATAATCGGGGTGCTGAAGTCCTTGGACACGAACAAAACGATAGGCATGCATTCGATTGTCTCGCAAAATTCGTTGGATCGTGGAAATGGATACCCCGAGAACGGCCACTGCTCGACGAATAGAACCTTCTGGATTACTTCTGAAGAATCGAAGCACTCTCAATTCGGTAGCAGGATTTCGAGCTACCATTTGTGGTCCAGCTTCTCGATGATTGGGAAGTGCATTCCCGGTTTCATCAAATCTTCTTGCAGCACCTGCAATCGTTGATACAGCAGGGAGTCTCCTGCCTGGATAACGCTCGGCGTACAGTCTACGAGCCCCAGCTGCATTGTACTCACATTCTGCATATAGATAACACATACTTGCGTACTCTCGGGGAGTGTATTCGCCCATTGTTAATTAACAATTATATTAATTCTAATGATATTTTTCACTGGAATATCCGAGGTAACCGTGATCGAGCAATGAACCGCGTAATTGTAGTAGTGTTCATAATACCTCGATCGTCATTTTTCAATGCGATTCATTTTTGTTTTATTCCGGCGAAAATCGACTTGCATGTATGACGTCAACGGTTTCAAAAAACAACAACCGGGATATTGCATAATTGTTTTTTATTTAAAAAAATCATGAAATCCAAAAATTTGATGAAAAATATTAGATACGTATTTTTTTATTTTGGAAAAAAATGAAAAATCAAGAAGTTAAAGCAAATTGAAGAGCGTCGACAGCTATCACCCATATACGAACCATTGTGACGTCACAACTGCCGACGTTTTCAATCGCCAAACAGCTCGTCCATTTTTCATTATTTTTTAAAACCAAAAAATACGTATATACTATTTTTCATTCAATTTTTATATCCAACAATAAAAAAATTTCATGAAATACCCCCATCGCAACAGTAGTACACATAAAGCATTTTTCACAGATATATTCATCATTTATTGCGCAAGTATTAAAAGTGAAATATTTTCTTGATAAGAAATTCAATATTTTATTTTTCTATTAATATTTTCCGTGAAGAAAGACGGAGTTATGTTGTTGAATGTATAATTACCTCGTGAACAAAGGATTTTAAGGGAAAATGTCAAATAAAAAATGCTTTCGAATAAAAAATGTCTACTGACATTAGTAGATATATAGGGGCGGTTCTGGCCCAACCATTTTGGGAAGGGTCTGAGGATGCGCCGCGAGGGGGGTGGGAGTGGGATTAATTAATTCGCGCTTTAATTCGCGGTTTTGATTCGCGGTTTTAATTCGCGGTTTTAATTCGCGGATTTTACATTTCGTCGATTCTGGGTGCAATAAGTATGGGAGAAGCCCCCGCGAGTGGGTGGTGGGATTAATCAAGTCACGGCTGTAATTCACGGTTTTCAGCCCCGATTTTAATTCGCGGTTTTCAGTCCCGATTTTGATCCACGGTTTTAATTCGCGCTTTGGTGGGATTAATTAATTCGCCGTTTTAATTCGCGGTTAGAATTCACGGTTTTAATTCGCGGTCTTAATTCGCGCTTTAATTCGCGGTTTTAATTCGTGGTTTTGATTCACGGTTTTAATTCGCGCTTTTAATCCGCGGCTTTAATTCGCGGTGCAAGTCGCGACTTCTAAACCTTTCAACATTTTAGAGATTGTACCTGAGATAAGAATGAGTCATCATCGCAAGGGTTAAGTGCAAAAGGTCATAAATCATTTTTTTATACCTGAAAAGAGAAAGTGTGACATTCCTGAGATAAAAAGAATGAGTCATCACAGCAAGAGTTAAGTGCAAAAGGTCATAAATCTTTTTTTTTTGTACCTGGAAGAGAGAAAGTGTGACATTCCTCAAATTCTTTAGATAAGAAGAATGTCATCATCGAAAGGGTTAAGTGCAAAAGGTCATAAATCATTTTTTTTATACCTGAAAAGAAAGTGTGACATTCCTGAGATAAGATGAATGAGTCATCACAGCAGAGATTAACGGTAATTCCAGGAAATGTTCAGATGACATGCAAGGTTGAGAAAAACTGTCACTTTTTTAA